CTTATGTACTTGGAAAAGCACTGGAGAAGATAAATATTAACCTGTACTGAATTTTAGAGTACAAGAAAATGTTTAGGAGCATGAGCTTTATAAGTCAGGCAGCCCTAGATTATAATTCTGTCTCTAGGACTTCAAAGCAGTGGGACCTTTTATAGATCTGAGAATCATCTGAATTCTAATTTCCTTCTCTGTAATGTGGACATGATTATACCATCTTCTGAGGATTAAATGAGATAATATAAATTAAAATATCTAAACAGGACCCGGTACCTAATGAAAGCAATCTACGAATGTTAGGTGGTATTACATTGTAATTTTATGGTTTTGTTAAAAAAAAAATCTTTAACTCTTTACTCGGCGTATATTTTCTTTGGTACCCTTGACGGCTCATTTGTTCCCAAGCATGAATCATTAAGAATATCAAAAGAATAAATTGTTCAGAGTATTATTTGTACCTGTTAAGTGTTAGAAATGTTGATTTTCGTTAATTTAGCTCATTAATATCTGTTGAGTGCCTACCATATGTTTAGTGCCAAGCCAGGTACTACAGGAGAATGTAAGACAGAACGCCTTTGTTTAAGAGGCTCCTGATCTAGTTGAGGAGAAAAAAGTAGCATATCTTTATTATACGTAACAGTGTAGTTTTGTAGTTTTGAGCCTACATTCTTAGGCTCAAAAATGCGTCAACATTCTTTGGAGGCGTATTGGGCCTTGAAATGACTGGGAATTCCATTGTCTTTGTTCGCAGCATTCTTTGTGGACACGTGACTCTTTAAAACAACAATATAAAAGAGTAAATAGATATGATTATAGGACAGAAGTAATTCAGGATTTCAGAGAAGACAGATACTGGTGTGCCTTATAGGGATGGGGAAGGCTTGAGGGAAGAGGTCATAGGTTAGGGATGGGGAAGGCTTGAGGGAAGAGGTAATACGTGTAACCTCTAGGTACGGAGACAGGAAGACTGCCTTCCAGCGGGAAACGAAGCATGAGACCGCAGTTTTGAGAAGGCAGTGTAGAAACCAGCCTGGCTTAATTAGGTTCACATTCATAGGAAGAAAAAAAAGAAATTTTTGGATAACAGAGCCAGTGCCAAGTTGTGAAGGGAGTGCAGGCAGGAATGTAGGGTTACTCATCTGGGGAGGTGCAGGAGGTACTGAACAAGGGAGAGATGAGGTGAGTGGTCCCATAGGAGGGTGTATTGACAGATGCTCAGGGTGGTTTGGATGGGAGAGAGGATTGAAGTCTGGGAGACAGACCATTTAGGAAAGAAGGCAGCCTGAAACAGGGTGATCGATGAAGGAAGAATAAGCAAGGAGCTTATTTAAAGACATTCAAAGGACCATCCATAGCTCTTTGAGACTGATGTTGATTGGCAGGGTGGATACCGAAGATGGTTTTTGAGAAGGATGCTGGTACTAGTAGGGAAATGGAGAGGTAAGGAAACTTACTGTGGAAGAAAAAAGAAGGCAAGTTTAGCTTGAACAGGCTTAGATACATAGGTAGATAGATAAGACAGTTTAGAAAAAGTTGAAAATGACTCATTAAGGCTACCATTTTAACAGTGAAGATGCATTAAGTCTTCATTTTATCTCTGTTTTGCCTTGTAGCCCTGGCTAATATACACACACAGATACATATCTACAATCATAAATGTATGTGCCGTTCTGCATTTTAAAAATTACTGTCATAAACATCTATTTTCATGTAATCTTTATGATTATAAATATTACTGGCTGGGCGCTTTCTGTTTAATCTGATATGTCCTGAAAGCAAGGACCATATTGGTGGTGTTCATTCCTGTGTGTCTAGAACAAAAGAAAAGATTAAGAAATGTTTGTTTAATGGAAGCATTACTGACCATACTCATGATTGACCATGAATATTTCCATGCTTTTCTTTGTAGAGCTTGCTACAATAAACATATATATGATAGTTTGGGCTTTGGGTCGTGTTTTTATTTTTGTCTTTTTCTTCTGTTTAGTTGCTTCCTATGATAAACTCTTGAGATTGGAATTGCTGTGTGGAAGCACGTAAGTCTTCCTCAGAAAGCTCTCTGAGTTGCAGTGGCGTTTGGCCACAAGACAGCTTCACATACAGCGACTTAAATGAGGCAGGTGTTTTTTTTTCCCTGGTCTCCACCTGCCCTGAGGTCGGTAGTTAGGGGCTGTTTTGATGGTTCATGATGTCATTGGAACCCTGAACTACTCCTGTCATCCTTAGGTTGTAGTTTTTTGTTTCATTGAGACAGGGTCTTGCTGTATTGCCCAGGCTGGAGTGCAGTGACATGATCATAGCTCACTGCAGCCTCAACCACCCAGGCTCAAGTGGTCTTCCTGCCTCAGGCTCCTCCCTAGTAGCTGGGACTACAGGTGTATGCTACCATGCCCAGCTATTTTTTATTTTTTATTTTAGTAGAGACAGCGTCTCCCTTTGTTTCCAGGCTGGTCTCAAACTCCTGGGCTCAAGCAATCCTCCCACCTCAGCCTCCCTGAGTATTGGGATTATAGGCATGAGCCACTACACCTGGTCTTTTTTTGTTTGTTTTGTTTTATTTTTTTATTTTTGAAGAGACGGGGTCTTACTCTGTTGACCAGGCTGGAGTGCAGTAGCACAATCATAGCTTAGTGTGACTTTGAACTCCTGAGGTCAATTGGTCGCTGCCTCAGCCTCCAGAGTAGCTAGGACTACCGGCAAGCATCACCACTCCCAGCCAACTTTTTAAATTTTTGTAGAGATGAGGTCTCGCTATACTGCCTAGGCTCTGAAACTCCTGGCCTCAAGCAGTCCTCCTGCCTTGGCCTCCTAAATGTTGGGATTGTAAGTGTGAGCCACTGTGCCCGGCCTACCCTGTGGCTTTTACCTTCATGATTGCAGGGTACTGTTGTGCCTTTATCCAATTGCATACTAGCGTTACACAGAAGCATGAAGGAGGGGTAAGGACTAAAGTTGGAAAGTGCTTTTCTGTGGAGGCTCCTTTTCGACCGCTTTCCTTGAATCCCTACCCGGTGACTTCTGCCTACTCCAAGGCTAGAACGATATCCCTTGGCCATCTCTGACTGCTGGGGAGAATGCTGGCCTTTTTAGCTGGGTGTGTCTCTTTCCCGGATAACACCGTACGTCACTTAGCAAGGAAGGAAGGGAGACTGCACGTTGGGCAGCCGCCAGTGTCTGCCCCATCTCTGGGTGGTGTGCCGACACTGCTCCTGACAGCCTGCTCTGAGGCCCTGGGAGTCGGGCACTGATGTTCATATTACCCAAATGAGAAAACTAAAAAATGCAAATTTGTGAGGAGTCCACGAGCAGCTATGACTAAGATTAAATTTGTCTCTTTTCTGGGTTTTAGTTGAAAAGCAAAAGAATGTATATGCTTATGTGCTATAAAAACCAGCCAGATATAACATTAAATCTTAGAATACTGCACGGTTTCTGTTCAAAGTAAGAATCAACGCTAAATAAATAGTACCAGCAGATGAAATTAATTCATATAATTAAGGGCTAAGCAAAATACTCGGGATAGACCAGTTTTATTAGGGCACTACTTAGTAACCATTAAAGGGCGCTTTAAAAATTTGGATTTATAGGGCTGGGTGTGCTGGCTCACACCTGTAATCCCAGCACTTTGGGAGGTTGAGGCGGGCGGATCACAGGGTCAGGAAGTTGAGACCATCCTGGCCAACGTGGTGAAACCCTGTCTCTACTAAAATAAAAAAGAAAGAGTAAGCCTACAGGCATGGTGATGCATGCCTGTAGTCCAGCTACTCAGGAGGCTGAGGCGGGAATCACTTGAACCCAGGAGGTGGAGGTTGCAGTGAGCCAAGATCGCGCTACTGCACTCCAGCCTGGCGACAGAGTGACACTCCATAAAAAAAAAAAGAATTTGGATGTATGAAGCCCAATTGAATTTATGCTCAAAATACTACAACTGCAGGGTTGTACTTGGCACTTAAAATGAAGAATTTTGTTTATTTTTCCTGACTTGCAAGTCTTCTCGGGCACACACATAAATAGCTGGGGCTCTGATCTCATGGTTCTCAACTCTCCCTGTGCCTTAAAATTATCAGGGGAGCTGCAAAAGTATTGATGTGAGTCCTGGTGCAGATACTTTGATTCTCTTGGGTTAAGACAGTCTTCTGAGTGAGAAGTAATGAGGCAGTGGGGCTGCAGCGGAGAGGACAGCTTTGATGGCACCATCCAGTAGTACTTTCTGCAGTGATGAAAATGTTCTTGCACAATGCGGTCCACAAGCCACAGGTACGGTGGAGCCTTTGAAATGTGGCTAGTGTGATTGAGGAAGTACATGTTTTTTTTTTTTTTTTTGAGACGGATTTTCGCTGTTGTTACCCAGGCTGGAGTGCAATGGCGCGATCTCGGCTCACCACAACCTCCGCCTCCTGGGTTCAGGCAATTCTCCTGCCTCAGCCTCCTGAGTAGCTGGGATTACAGGCACGCGCCACCATGCCCAGCTAATTTTTTGTATCTTTAGTAGAGACCGGGTTTCACCATTTTTACCAGGATGGTCTCGATCTCTTGACTTCGTGATCCACCCGCCTCGGCCTCCCAAAGTGCTGGGATTACAGGCGTGAGCCACCGCGCCCGGCCTGGAAGTACATGTTTAATTTAATTAGACAGCCACATGTAGCTCGTGATCACCTTATTGGACAGTGCAAATTTAAGAAGTAGAATCAGTAAGCTCTGGTCACCTAGGAGTATGGAGGAGAGAGGGGCTGAGCATAACCTCACAGTTTCTACAGGTAGTTATGCTTCTGGTATAGGGATGAGGAGGCTCGTGATGTTTACCTGAGGGCCTCAGGAGTGGCTAGAACACAGATGCGGCCTGGTCTGTTGTAGATGTCAGTCCATGTTGGATTCTTTCAGTGCGCCTTGGGCAGGGTTCACGGCTCCCGTGTTGATTTGTTTAAGTACAGTCTAACGGTATTTCTAAAAATAGTATTTTCTTCCTCTTAAATCTTTTTTCCTTTTCTTTTTTTAAAAATCAGGTATCAAATTGTAGTGGAAATAATCCAAGCGACCACAATTAGCAGCTTTCCCCAGCTGAAGAGACACAAGGGTAAGAAGCAGTCTGTTTTCTTCAGTTCCTCGTCTGAAAGGGCGGGTGGATCCCTGGGCTTCTCCTCCTGTCAGGTCTTCGGCAAATAGGAGGTTTTCTGGCTTACATTTAAATATTGCAATTTATTAAAACAATACGATTCCAGCATTAGAGAAGTAAATATAATTTCACCCTAACAAAAACCTCTGTCTGTATTTCTGTATAAACTCTGTTCAGCTGCAGTCATAATTTTTAGAAGGTTAAAATGTCATTGGGTATATATGTTTCTGTTCTGGTTTTAAACTAAACATGATTACATAATTTTTTTCACATGTTGATTTTTAATCTTAATATTTCTATCTTGAAACATAATCTTGGTCATTTAAATGACTCCAATAAGTTAAATGATATACTTAATCTTTTCCTTTATTTTCCTTTCTTTAAGGTGGTTTTACTTTTTTTTTCTTTCTTCTTTTTTTTTTTTTTTTTTTGAGACAGCATCTCACTCTGTTGCTCAGGCTGGAGTGCAATGGCACAATCTTGGCTCACTGCAACCTCTGCCTCCTGGGTGCAAGCAATTCTTCTGCCTCAGCCTCCCCAGTAGCTGGGACTACAGGCATGCACCACCACACCCAGCTACTTCTTGTATTTTTAGTACAGACGGAGTTTTGCCATATTGGCTAGGCTGATTTTGAACTCCTGACCTTGTGATCTGCCTGTCTTGGACTCCCAAAGGGTTGGGATTACAGGTGTGAGCCACGACACCCAGCCAAGCATTTTTTTAAGGAAAAATAAAATCTTGTTTCTTTATTTAAGCGTTGGATTGATAATAGCTCTTTCTCTTTCCACTCTTGTGTGTGAGGTTTCGTAAGGAGGGGCAGATGGAAATATATATATATATATATATATGTTATATGCTCTTTTTCTTCCTGTTTGTTTCTCTTCCAGTGAAGTAAGATTCTTACCCAGGCATGATACTGAAGAATAATTAAGGTGTGAGAATGGCTTTCAACTCCCTTGTAGTTTGCCTGATGTTAGAATATTATTCCCCCTTGCATATACAAAGGTAGAAAACATGTTAAAATCTAGAGTGCAGAGCAGGTCTTGCTTTGCGGCTGGGAGGCAGCAAACACTGCTTTCACCTTGGACAATAGACATTCCACACAAACCTCCAGGCTTGTGGAGGGAGTAGAGTGCTAAAACAGCAGGGAAGAGTTGGGCCAAAGACTTAAAGCATGCTTCCAGGTTTCTCATTAGCACACAGAGGCAGTGGAAGCTTCCGCTGGGGATTTGGACTTGGACTTGCCTCCCTGAGCCTGACAGAAGGTAGAAGTGAGTTTACAGCGAATACAGGAATAGACTGTGAAGATGCATAACTCCTCAGCTTGGCCTGTAAGGAAACCTGTGTAGATGTGTCCATTCCTCAGTGTTTACTGAGTACTGGCCGAGTGATAATGACACAGTAGTAAACAAGGCACAATCTCCGCATTCTGATTCCCTAAACTAGCCTGGGAGGCAGTCAGACAATCAACAATGAAATACGTGCTTATTTCGGCTGCGGGGAATCCTGGTAGGGAGTGCTGGTTCTGCATTTAGGCACTGAGTTGGGGAAGACCTTGCTCAGACGGTGGGCTTTGAGCAGTGATCTGGAAGCCTGGGGTATCTGGAGAGGGGCAGGTGCCAAAGCCTGACGCCGAGACTGACGGGTCTGAAGAAAGGGCTCCGTTGATGGAGAGAAGCCAAACGCGAGCTCAGAGAGGTGGCGGGGACCCAGTCACCAAGGCCTTCTTGGCACCGCAAGGACTTGGGATTTTACTCTGAATGAGGATGTCTTCACATGGGCTTTCGAGCTCAGAAGACCTGATCTGATGGATACCTGCTAGAGTGTGGGCTCTGTTCCTCTCCTTTTTATCCTATTTCTTGCAGAGAAGATGCTTCACTTTCAGACAGATGGACAGCTGTTTGAAAGAACACGGGCGAGGCACGCCTTCTTGGCCGCTGTGATCTTTTTTAGTGCTTCTCTTTGAGTTTAGTGAGCAAAATACCTTTCTCATTTTGTTTTTCCATTAGTTTGCTAGGGCTACCATTGAAAAGTACAAGCCGGGTAGTTTAAACAACAGAAATTAATTTTCTCACAGTTCTGGAGGCTGGAAGCCCAAGACCAAGGTGTCAGCAGGGTAGTTCCTTCCGAGAGCGGTGAGGACAGACCTGCTCCAGGCCTTTCTCCCCATCTGCAGATGGCTGTCTTCTCTTTGTGTCTTCATGTCTTCACATTGTCCTTCTTTTTTACCTGCTTTCAACTTGATTGACTCTCCAAAGGCCTTACCTCCAAATAGGGTCACATTCTAAGGTACTTGGGGTTAGAACTTCAACTTCTGAATTTACTTTGGGGGTGGGGGAAGGACGCGATTCAGCCCATAACAGTTATGTTGTAGTTTTCTCAGTGATGCCTGAGTCTTTCATGTCTGTGTTTTCCATCTAAACTATCCTTACAACTCTTTTGGGTATCCTGGCTTCCCTCTGTTGTTTAAGCACTGAGGAAAAGACAAACAAACTAAGCACTCTTGGGGCCTTAGGGCCATTTTGCCTGGGACAGAAAATGCTGGAGACTGGTTCCAGTGCTTCTCTGAGGTTACTGGTTAGCAGTGATTGTCGCCTCCAGCCTCTATGGCTGCATATGATAATACTTCAGTGGATTTTAATCTTCCTTCTTTTTGTGAAGTTAAACTGCTTAAACTCCTACGTGCTTTGTGCTTAATATGAAATTTTAGCATGAGAGTGTGTGTACATGTTTATTTATATATAAGGACAAAGTAACTGGCAAGAATTTGCTGTTAATATGATGCATTGTGGTTTAATATTAATTATAACTGAAGTATTTGGTTTAAGTTATTAGTTTCTCTCTGCCTAAAATGAACAAAAAGGTCAGAATCTAGTTTAAAGAGAATTTATTCAAGTGCAGAAGTTGAGGACGACAGCCAGGGACACACTGCCAGGTTGCCTTGAGGAGCGCTGCAGAGAACAAAAGAGGCTCAAGTTCTTTTTTTTTTTTTTTTTTTTTTGAGACGGAGTTTCGCTGTTGTTACCCAGACTGGAGTGCAATGGTGCGATCTCAGCTCACTGCAGCCTCCGCCTTCTGGGTTCAAGCAATTCTCCTGCCTCAGCCTCCCAAGTAGCTAGGACTACAGGCGTGCACCACCATGCCCAGCTAATTTTTGTATTTTTAGTGGAGACGGGGTTTCACCATGTTGACCAGGATGGTCTCAAGCTCTCGACCTCGTGATCCACCCGCCTCGGCCTCCCGCAGTGCTGGGATTACAGGCTTGAGCCACTGCGCCTGGCCTGAGGCTCGAGCTCTTAAAGAGAAAAGACAAATCAGGAGAGAGGGCAGTTGGGAAAGTTGTCAGGAATTCTCATGGGTTTACAGAAATAATATTGTCTAGTGCTTGGTTGTACGTGGTTAAACTGTGACGTGGACATTTTATGGCTACCTGGCATTGGTGTAGAGCCTGCATAGAAGCGGCTTCAAGAGGTAATTATTTAGCTCACGGGGAAGTGTGACATGACCTTTTACGTTCTAAATGCTTTTCGGGGCCCGATGATTTAAAGGAGCTCACAGTCCTCAGGAACAAGATTTTTCTTTTGGGGAGAAGAGGGTTAATTGTGGTGACATGCATGTAACAACTTCACCATTTTTAAGTGTGCAGTTCTGTGGTATGAATTGTGTTCCTGTTGTTCTGTAGCCGTTATTACCATCCATCCCCAGACCTTTGCATCTTCCCAAACTGAAACGGTGTACCCATGAAACAATAACTCCGCCTTCCCCACTCCCCTCAGCCCCTGGCAATTGCCATCCTACTTTCTGTCTCTCTGAATCTGAGTAGGTTGTGTACCACGTATAAGTAGAACCATACAATATTTAAAAGGTTCTTCTGTCTCGATCCCTAGGGCTGCCACAGCAAAGTGCCACAAACCGTACGGCACAAACAGCAAAAATGTATTCTCACAGTTCTGAGGTGAGAAGTGTAAGACCAAGGCTGGGGCAGGGCCGCGCTGCTTCTGAACGCTCTGGGGGAGTCTCTTCCGGATCTGCCTCTTAGCTTTCCATGGTGCTTGCAGTCCTGGTGGTCCTTGGCCTGGAGATATGTCCTTCCAGTCCTTGCCTCAGTCATCACGTGACAGTCTCCTCTGGTTTTGTGTCTCTGTTTTCTTAAAAGGGCACCAGTCATCCTGGATTGGGGCCCACCCTAATTAAGCATGACTTTATCTTAACTTGATCACGTCGGCAAAGACCCCATTTCTGAATAAGATCACCTTCGTAGGTACAGGGGCTTACGACTTCGACATATCTTTTTGGGAACACAATTCAACCCACCGCATTGTAACTGGTAAGTTCAAGTATAGCATTTATTCCCCTTTTTATGTGAAAATGCTAGAAATACTTCTTTTCAGCAAGGTTTCTGACCACATTAAGACTTACTACCTTCACTCCTTTTGGGTTAATTCTGGTATAAGTATTTAGCTTTCACCACGTTGGTCTCTTTTAAGACTATAATAGGGTTTAAAGTCAGAAAAAACATTTCGGCAAAAAGTAGAATAGCTGGAACTGTATAGGTAATTCCAGCCGCCACATGTCCTCGTGTCCAGAAAAAGACAGGTTCCATGGAATCAGTGCTCTGGCAAATTGTGTGGGTCTAGTAAGAATGAGGGGAAGCCAAGTGACGGTGGGAAAAAGTAAATTGTTCTTCATTAAAAGTGAAAAACTTGGCTGGGTGTAGTGGCCTAGCCTATAATCCCAGCACTTTGAGGGGGTCAGGGCGGGAGGATTACTTGAGGACAGGAAGGAGTTTGTTTGTTTGTTTGTTTGTTTGTGATGGAGTTTTGCTGGTCACCCAGGCTGGAGTGCATGGTGCAATCTCGGCTCACTGCAACCTCCGACTCCCAGGTTCAAGCAATTCTGCTGCCTCAGCCTCCTGAGTAGCTGGAATTATAGGTACCCACCACCACACTTGGCTAATTTT